AGAATTTGAGAAAATGCCATAATTTTGAGAATTTGAGAAAAAGTCATAATTTTGAGAATTTGACAAAAAAGTCATAATTTTGAGAAAAAGTCATAATTTTGAAAAAAAGTGAGAGAAAAAAAACATAATTTTGAGAAAAATACAGCATTTTGAGGAAAAACTTAATTTTGAGAAAAAGTCATAATTTTTTGAAAGATTCACAATTCCTCCATCTTGTGACTGTGGAACTCCCTCTCTTGGATATCAGCATGTGAAGGACACTGTTCAGGAACTACTTGATGCTCTGTATGTGATGACTACTTCCATTCTGGAGAGGATCACAGATACATGGATCCTGAGATTGAAGCTCAAGCCGGTGACCAGTGAGATTTTCCTAACACACACAAAACACACCTCGCTGGCGTTGTCGCTGCTGCCCCTCCGGGAGCGCTCCCTGCTGGGGGCGCACTCTGACTCTGAGGAGGAGGAGGCTCCAGAGGGGGCGTCCAGAGCGTCATCGCTGGAGGTCACCGTCTGGTACACCTGGAGGAGCAGGAGACATTAGAGAGGGCCGACACAACACCTTGGTTTTAAGTTAGCTGCACCATTTGGAAAAAACTGATAGCAATCTTTCATCGGATACTGATACGATCGTATATGATTCCCGACTTTAGAGGATGATCATTTCAGAAACTTGATGTTTTATTGATAATTATAAAAAATATCATTTTATTTGATGTTATTTTGGTTAAAATATGGAAATTGAGGGTGCGATTGGAATTGATTATCTTTTAATAGCTATGTGGAATGCACCATCAATGCTGATTGTGTATTTATAGGATATACATATATTTTATACATATTTGTGTGTTCAGGATTTTGGGAAACGGTATTTCGATCTCTGTCTGTACGCACAAACTGACAGATTGAGAATAAAGCAGCCTTTGACTTGACCGTATGAATAAAGCTTTATTGATTTGTTACTTCTTTCCTTGTTTGAAGTTCACCCTCACCTCGCTGGATTCACTGTCCAGGTTGTCAGCGGAGCCTCCATGCTGGTGTCCGGCGAGCAGATCCTCCAGGGACCCGGGGGCCGATCCCTCCACAGAGGAGGAGGTCAGCGTTCCTCCTCCTCCTCCTCCTCCTCCTCCTCCTCCTCCATCACTCAGGGAGGCGAAGTTGAACAGTTTGTCGGAGGCGTCCAGCCGCTGCTCCAGAGAGAATCCCAGCGCGTTCAGCCGGTCTTTCAGCATGCGGTTCTCGCTCTTCAGCAGGTTCAGCTCCTCCCTGATGGCGTGGTTCTGCTCCTGCAGGAGGATCAGGGTCGACTCCACATCGGCTGCGGTGATAGCTGACACATGAGGAGGAGGAGGAGGAGGAGGAGGAGGAGGCTTCTCCACTTCTTCTTCCTCCTCTTCCTCCTCCTCTTCTTCCTCCTCCTCTTCCTCCCTTGTGTCCTCCTTCCCTCCCAGGCCCAGCTGCGCCCTCATGCCTCTCAGCTCGCTGCGCAGATGATGGATTTCCACGTCTTTGCTTTGAGCCAGACCCAGCAGGTCTTTCACTTTGGTCTCCAGAGCCACTTTGTCGCTGATCTGACCGTCAGATTTAGATTTGCTCATGCGGCCTTCAGACTCCACCAGGATTTGGCTGCGGGAGCGTTTCCCCGACGCAGCATCGCCCGTCGCTGCCCCCGACCCCGGCTGCTTCTTACAGGCCGCCGTCCTGGAGCTACGGAGACGATCCCGCGAGGAGTTTGTCTCCTTGGCATTGGACGAGGTTGCACGCCTTGATGAAGTGCCTGGTAGGAGTACAAAGAATTATACTTACTCAAGATACAATTGTATGCAAGGAATATTTCGTTTTCTTTCGGACCATCACTAAAAACATTCCAAGCTACTTTTTACTACGTCCATCATAAAAAAAAGCTCCTACTTAAAAAGGCATTTATATAATTATACAAAGACACCTTGACAGGATAAACAGATGAAGATGAATTTGCTAAAACCTAGTTTAATGCCATTTAGCGAAGTCAATCTTAACAACAAAATGGATAAATCACAAACAACAACATTTGGGATGGTGGAATAACGACGATGACAATTAACATATTGATTCAGATACACCGTGCATACTGTTTAACAGTCATTTCTCATATATTTAATACATGTTTTGGTAAATGTATTTACACTTATCACTTATTTTTAACATATTTATGTACGAACCAATACACCCTGGCAAATGTGAAAACCTAGTGAATAAACCGTGTTATGATTCTGATGCTCATTAAAATGCTAGCATACGTTATCGTTTTTGTTCTTTGTTTTTTTTGTATGAATGACAGAAGTCTGAACAACATCACATGTAAACAAATGTATTTTCTTTAACTCGTAGAATAGTGTATAAAGTATTTCAATGTGTGTTATATTACCTGCTGTGGTCTTTGGCTTGCTGTCCAGGTTGCTAACGTTGGTCCCGGTGGAGGCCGTCCTCTTGCTCTTGTTGACGGCGTTATTCGATGCAGGAGCTCCTCCCGCCATCGCTGCTAAAAGATCATCGTTGCTTTTCACCTGAAAACGCACCATTTTTTTTTTTTTAATATCGACAAATTCACTTACAGACAGAAATGAGGCTGAAGCGATTGACCGAAATGCATATAACATTGTGATCGATTGAAATGTAATACTTAAATGGGTTAATTAATACCAAAGAACGTACCAGAATGAAGACTAGTATTAAAGTTTTTATTTAAACATTTAAAATATTTATCTGTAGATTTTTTTTACAATGTATGATTTTATTTTGATTTATAATGATATCAAATATAAATGTCCTGCTTTTTCTCTGTTATATGAAATCAAAGTGAACACATTTTTCACAATTTTCTATCCCAATATCAGAGACGTTACGAGTCATCATACTATAACAACTTAATAAGGCTGTCCAACAACATCATCTGGGACCCAAAGCATGTTCTGAACAGAGAATACGAACTGCTACCATCTAATGGGAGATACAGGGTCCCGCGATTCAATAAAGTCAGACTGAAGCATCCTCAGTCGACCCTTTCAGTAAACACAGAGCTGATTCCAGATCAGATGAACGCTGACGGCTCTTTGAGCAGCTTTTCTCTCACTGATTGTGCTGTTATGTTAAATGTTTGTTTTTCCATGTGTTGTGTCTTGATATCTGTCTGTTGATGTGACACATGGAGCTGCTGTGATGCAAGGAGCATTTCAGACTTGATCATTAAAGTATTATGGTATGGTAAAAGATACTACATTGAGTTGTGAGCTGCAGCCCTACATGTGCAATCTGATTCCAAGCATCATTTAGTTGATCCTTTGATGGCTCTTACCTTGGACAGCGGTGCAGAGCTGCTCTTGGCTGCAGGTTTCCCGGTCCCGGTGTTTCCCTCCGCCTTCCCTCGCTCCCCGCTGGCTTTACTCACCGCGGGCCGCACCGACTTCTTCATACTGCGCCCTGTGCTGCAGAAACATCTACGATCTGTGCACAGAGAGGAAGTGTGTCAGCGCTCAGAGGGACAGATCCACTTCTTCCATGAAGGAGGAATTCTTTCCACAGAGGTTATTCCCTCAACTCTAGAAAACATTGCGACCATAATGAATAGCTTTGCAGCGTTTGTGGATATTGTGTTTTTTCATTTGTCTGTTTCAAGATATTTGGTGTTGAGAAAGCGGTGGATCATTCTGATTATCCTCCTGATCCCTACAAATGTTCAATTCACCACCTTTGAAGTGAGAGTCCAATCAGTGATGATGGGAAATACATTACTCAGTTTGTGCTTTTTTTTCAGAGAAAGCAGAGTTTGAAGCAGCAAATCCTGTGGTTCCCTTCTCTTTTCTGTCATTGAATAAACCAAAGACCCCGATTAAGGGACATGTTTTATGGATATTCTGTATTATATTCAACAAAGGATTCTATGTATATAAAACACTGTAAAACAAACTTATCTGCAACAATATATCCCATGAACTTCAACAAGCAATTATTGGTCTATTTCTTGGCAAATAAATGGGTAATAATTCCCTCTATAACATCAATTTATAATGCAGTAAAAACATTTGCTTTAAATAACTTGATTTATTTAAGTTTCTCGCCAAAATTTAAAGTGGACCTATCATGCTATTTCTAGGCAATAGTATGGGTCTCAGATATATACAAATATATAAAAAACATGTCTATGAATTGTTTTGCTCAAAATACCAAACAGATCACCCATTATAGCCATGCCTCAAATCCCTCTATTTCACTTCCTGTTTCTAAAGTGATGATTTGGGGTATAAAGCTTTAAAATAAAAATAAAAAAGGAGAGGGCCGAGCTCATGCGGGACCCGGCAGCTACTGTCTAAACTAAATACTGCCGTGATGAAACGCCATATCATGGATTATCAAGGATTATCTCTGAAACAGTATGGAGCTCAAAGGCTTTCTCTCTTGCCGGTTATACCACAAGGTGAGTTCCTTTTTACTTCCTGCTTCTTCACACACATGCTCTCCAGTACAGGTTAGCTCTGAGTGTTAGCGATGCTAATGTAAACACCGACCATATTACGTCCAAAACAGTCGGGCATTGTTTCTGATAGCAACGTTTCTGATAGGGCCGTGGGTCCACATTTCAGATATTACGTCATATCGGACGCAAATCTGGATCAGCTCCGTTGTTCCCCCGTTTTTAGAGATTTGGGTACGGAGGAAAAGAGAGAGGGTTTTATTTTCTGACGCTGCGTGAGTTCCCCGACACACTGGGGACACATCTTTATGTATAAAAGACATCAAAAAGTGCATTTTGCATGGTAGGTCCACTTTCAAAATACATTTTACAAGACTAAATTGAACAAATCAAGACACCGATATAATTGACCTTTGTCCAATACTCATTTTTATCAGATTTGTTCCAATTTCCAGACCATCTTCTGTACTACTTTCAATAAAAGGTATACATGTTACAGTTTAAAAATGTTGCTAATTTATATTGATATCATTAAACATGCAATTTAAATCATTTTAGCTTCAATGCAGTTACACATGGTAGCTATAGAAACAACCGTAGGAGATGATAAGGGAACATATAGTAGAGCAGAGACTGAAATAGAGGCTTTAAAAAGGCTAAGTCATTTCTCCACTAGATGGCGGTCCTGCGTTTGTGACGGTTCACAACTTGCCTGTTTGCTGCAGCACCGATAACTAAGATAAAGCTTCTTGAATCTGATTTCTTCTGAGTGGGTGGCTCCTCTCCTCAGCGCACACACAAATGGGCAAGACGGAGTTATTTTGGGCTTTTTGTAGAAAAATCAGCAGCGCCAAAAAAGGAAAAGTGGATTCCTTCACAGATCAAAGTGAAAGCTCAAACCAACACAACCTAATGCGGTCAGATTTCGTGACGCACATAATGTGTGTGATCATCTTTCACTGCAAAGCAATCATTTAGTGCGGCACCGGCGCACAACAACAGGTTCTCTGCTGAAAGGAGAGGTTGCTTTTATCGGTTTGGCAGATTCATAACAGGAGATTCTGGGTCGGGGAAAGATTTGTTTCTTCCAAAAATCGATTCTTTAACAAGTTGTTTTCCTACTACATGAGCTTAACATTGCTTCTGATGGACAGTCATCTACACAGCATGTCAAAGCTGTGTCAACTATTACAATGAGCAACAACAAAAAGGTTTTGTTAACAATATAATGTTTCAAATTAGCAAGTTTGTGAAAATAAAAAAGTAACTGAGCTAAGTTCACATTTTACTCTTTGGATCAAGCAACGTTATTATATATGTTTTTATAACTTGAAGTAGTTTGTCTTAAAATGGACTGAAAACAGAGAAATACAAAGTTAATGTGCATTTTTAGCATTTATCAATATGACCTTTTGTCTTAGTTTTGCCTTTGATTGTTTACATAGATGAATGAGTTGATAACCCTTTTTAAAAACTATGAAAACTCCCTAATCTTACACACTTTGCTTTCATGCCATAATATGATTAGGAATCGACTTCCTCAGTGCGCAACAAATCAAAGAAATCAGCTCCTATATGTTCTGAATCCAAAATATATCCTCTTCAAATGCTATTGTTATTAGTAGCAAAGTAGTGTATAACAGCATATTAGCATAGCATGTGTTTTTATATGTGAAAAGTAACTATGGTGCTAAATAAAAGGTAGTAGAGGAAAAAGTACCGTATTTGCCTTCGAAATGCAGTTTAGTGAAGTACTGGATACAAGTGTGTAAATAAGTAACAGTTATTTTTTGACTGGTTGAGAATAAATAGTGAGCTGAAGTTATTTATCTGAGACAGGAAACCCCTCCCCTCTCTGTCTCTGAGTCACAGCTGTTGTTTTCCTGGGCAGACGTTTGTTGTTTTAATATGGAAATACATATAAACAAAAATACAAGCGGTAAATCAGACTTTGAATAGAAAAACTGTGAGAAGCGTATCGTAACAGGAACACAACTATTGAAATGATTCACTCAAAACACTTCTACGAATCCTGTCTCAATAAAAACACACTACAGAAATAAATCAATATGTAGGATCTGATACAGGAGGAGCAGCTAAACGTCTCCTTCCTGAAACTTCCAGAAAATCCCCCAAAAACCTGCTACTGTATTCATACAACAAGAAATACTCTTCTGCCAGAGTTCAGCTGTTTCCCTGCAACAAGTCTTCCCTTTCAAGTCCAAGTGATTTCATATTTTCTTCCGAAGAGACGATATTTGTTTTGTTTTCTTATTTCTGTCTATTGGCCTGCAGTGACGTAGATGCTGAGAAACGTTAAAGTGCACCTATCATTTTATATTTGAATAATATAGTGTAGGACCAAACCTATATAAGGCATATTTATACTTTTTATTTTTCAAAATACCAAACAGATCCTGGATTTTAGCCATTCCTCATTTCGCTCAATGTAAAACTGTCTTTGCATGGGCTGATTCTGTGAGAACAGCACCACCTACAGGCCTGGCATATGTACTACAGCGTCTCCAGCGCTTTCCAACGGCAATGTCCGTGGCTGTCTCCTCCTGATTGGTGGAGTTGGCCCAATAGCCGTAGCGCCACTTCTGTGACGTCATAGAAGTGTTCAAATCTGGATCAGTCTGTATCAGATCCGTTGCAGCCCCTTTTTAAGAGATTTGGGTATGGAGGAAAAGAGAGAGGGTTGTGTTTTCTGACACTTGGTGAGTTCCCTGGAACACCGGGGACACATGTTCATGTATAGAGAGGTACAAAAGTGCATTTTGCATGATAGGTCACCTTTAAATATAATATATAATATATTAGATCATGAGTCAGCAGTATATAATGTGTAATAAATAGGGCTGTCAAGTTAACGCGTTAATAACGCGTTAACGCAACAACAATTAACGCCACTAATTATTTTAAGTTGTCCTCGGCCGCCCCGTAGTTTCAGAGCGCATCAAGTTTAAAATACCATCTACAAGCTGATGCTGACAGCAC